TCTTTTGCTGCTTCTGCTACAGCATGACGACCACGTCGAAGTCACCCCAAAAACCACCTCTGTGATGATATCTGGAGTACAGGATTCCTGAGTTGCATACTTTGGGTTGTATGGTCTACGATATTGGCTACTTGAAGTAGCTTCTGTCATCATGGCAGTTATCAAAGAAGTGCTTCCTCAGTCACATCGATTACCGTCATGTTTTCGACGCCGCTAAGTAGCTTCAGCTCTGGCATTGTGGGAGGTGCGCACCATGATTGCTGCCCTGGCGCTCCTGCCGCTGGCCTTTGCGAGGCAGCTGGCAGTGACTGGTCTTGGGGTTCTAGACTTTAAATTTCAAGGGGCTTGTATGGGGTGTATTTAAGGGAATGGAAAAGTATATGCAAAAACTATACTTTGCAGGGAGCCCACCCAGACTGCCACTGTGGGCCTTCAGGTTTTGGAATTTGTGCAACATCACCAACAGTGGTGCGTTGTGGTAAGCATGCGGTGCATCATCATAACAACGGTCGGTAGGTTTCTTTCTCTTGCAGATTTAGATGGCAGATTGTAGATGCATTTTACATCCAGAGCTGAATGAGGAGGAAGCCTTATTATGAGACAGCCAGCAGAAACTTTGTCTCGTCACTGATCTGTTGTCTACAAGTGAACATACCAGCAGGGCTTCAAGAGGCTTGCTTTCAGGAGCCCAGGAAGCCCGCAAAGTAATGAACGCCACAAGTGGCAGCTTCCACAATGGAAGAGGTCCCAAAAGCTATGCACGCAACATGGGGTTTCCTCGGCATGGAAGCCCAACGACCGACCCCAGTGGATACTCCCCAGCAACCCTGATACCGAATGCCTTGGAAACTCCTTCATGCCTCGAGGAGTCAGGCAGCTGAGCCAGTGACCAAAGTCGTCGACATGCTCAAGGCTTGGTGATTGTGATGCAGTGGTGGTGGTGGTGGTGGTGGTGGTGGTGGTGGTGGTGGTGGTGGTGGTGGCGGTGGTGGCGGTGGTGGTGGCGGTGGTGGTGGCGGTGGTGGTGGCGGTGGTGGTGGTTACTGTGGTAGTGAAGA